AGGTCAGAGATCCAATCAGAGAGTTGAAAGTCTGGAGAGAAATTTGCTTTGGTTTTCTAGAAAATATAGATCTTTTTATAACCTTGGAGCCAGAGGCAAGTGCAACCCCAGCCTCCCCTTTAAACCTTGATCTCATAGGGATTTGAATAGCTACACATTGTGATCTAACTGGTTACCCCTCAGGCTTCTGAGAAAGCAAAACTTATTTATATGGGTCCTTCTTACACTTTTCCATTTGGCTCCTTTTTGTCCAAGAAATCTTAGGTAACATGGGTATAAAGGTATATAAAACAGTTATATATACTGATAAAAACCATAAAGAAATTTCTTATTCATGTTCCAAAGCTGAGATTGATTAGTATGACATTATTTGTCAATTTAAGAACTTGAAGGGTAGAGTATGGAGGATTCAAAGTTCAAGATAATCCTGGGCTACACAGTGAATTCAAGGCCAACATAGGCTACAAGAAAACCCTGCCTCCAGAAATAAAAACAACAAAACAAAGCTGTTGTGGTTATTAATAATTACTATTGACTTATCTGTTAGTTCAACAGCGGTCATTCCTGTACACCCAAATCACCACACAGAGACTGGGATTTATTTAATTAACCTAAAGCACAATGCTGGGCAATAGTTATTCCATCCTAAACCTCCAAGCCACATAGTTTCCTACCATTTAGATTTCACCCATTATACTTGCTTTTAGTCATATCTAAGGTCCAGTTCACATCTCCACGTAGTTCCAAGTCCTCTCCTGTGGATTCTCTCTCCTACCTCTTGCTTCCTCTCTCTCCCTCCCATACCAGGATTCCCACCCTATCCTTTCCATTGCTCAGCACTGGGGCTGGTTATTTAATTGACAATATAGAGAACAAATGGTGGCATGTTTACACAAACTTGAGACAGGTGATGCTTAGAATAAGTATCACAATGCAATGTCCAGATTGAAATCAGATAGTAGGGGAGAGAAATCAGCATTTGAATGAACAAGGGTAAATTGTATACATTCCAAAAGAACATTATACCAACACAAAACATAACAACAAACCACAAGCATAAATATCATAATGAAACTCATACTCTGTACAATTAATAAAAAAAGATAGTATAAAACTGAGCCTACTTCAAAGAGAGGTGTTAACATGTTGTGTCCCAGCATGGCAACATTTTAAATGTGAAATCTAGTGACCATAGGGTCCTTTCAGAGTGGATCCTTGGACTTGTAAGTCCCTTTCTTATTTTATTTTATTTTTGCTTTTGGAGACAGGGCTTCTCTGTATAGTCTTGGCTGTCATGGACTCAATTTGTAGACCAGCCTGGCCTCAAACTCAGAGATCCATCTGCTTCTGCTTCTCCAAATGTTGGGATTACAGGCATGAGCCACTGCTCCAGGACCCAAGTCCCCTTTCAGCTCACATTTCTTTCTTGGAATTGTCATGGTGCCTGAGACCACTCCTTTCTCCATTAGCAAATTCCTCTGTACATATCTCTACACTAGCTCTTGATCCAGAGTTTGTAGCTCCCTTGCTTTCCTGTTGGTGGTGAGGGAACTTGCTTGTACTCCCTGTAGTGCTTGGCAAATTAAACACTGAAAGAAGAGACTTAAAAAAAAAAAAAAGGAATTTCAATCTCTAGCCATTTTCTGAGGGCCTGTAAATTGAAAGGCCATAACAATCAGGACTAGGATTCAGAAAACCAATGTAATTACTGGGGAACAATACACTTTAGAATGAGAATAGATTATGGTCTTCCAGAATAGCAATTTCTGTTTATAAAAACTCTGACCCAACAGTTTTATCCATGGGAAATAGGGGTGCCCCTGGAAGAATAAGAGTCCCTGTTTCTTTTGTTTTTTTTAGCTCAATTGATCTAGTGTGCAGTTTGTCAGTTATTGTCTCTCCCATTCCTTGCATCCTCACATTTCCTCACTTCATTTTCCATTCTTGCTCTCAGCTGGCTATCAATAATTCCCTAATTAGTTATTGATACTTAATTGATGAGTCTTCCTCAAAACAAACCAAAATTTCAAAGGAGACTATGAATTATTATTTCAGCTAATTGAAAGTAATAAAATGATTCCAGTGGAACTATGGATAGAAATAGAAAACTCCTTAAAATGTTAACCATTGGGTTAACTGCCTGTTTTACCTTTTTACAATTTCACTCTGTCAACACAGCACAGAACGTTCAGAAGCAAGTCATGGCACCCAGTCTGCCAGGCAGAGATTAATGCATGAGCTCTGATCTGTCTGCCAGTTCAAATCCTAGGCTTGACTTATTTATTTATTATTTAGAGACAGGATTTCTCTGTGTAGCCCCGGTTGTCCTGAAACTCTGTAGACCAGGCTGGCCTAGAACTCACAAAGATCTGCTTACCTCTGTCTCTGAATTGCTAGAATCAAAGGTATGCACCATCACCATCTTGCTCAATTCTAGGACTTTTACTTACTAGTGTGTAACCACAGGCAAATAATAAAATTTCTCCTTATCTACAAAATAGAGCTATATTCCCCATCTCATCCAGATGTTGTGTTCAAGTTGATAATCCATGTCAAACAGCTAACACAGGTCTGGTCCCCCAATGAAGTTGAGTAAATGCTATCATTGTTCAATTTTTGCATTGGAATTTCTTCACAGATGAAAAGATAACTTGACCTACAATCATTTACTTTGCAGGAAGAATGTATCCCCCTGTAGTGGACAGTGAATTGGACAGTCTAAGACCTACTTGCTGTATCTCTCTGGAGCTGTTTCTTATCTATAAAATGGAGACAGGCAGGGCTTTACAGGAGCGTTTCTACCAGAGAGGTAAAACCACTGCTGACTTGGGCTGGATATTAGAAAGTAAATAGTGGTGGGCATTACAGTTAACAGAACTTTGCTACTCAAGAGGGTGATGGTCTATTTTCTTGCAAGACCACTGATAGAACCCTGGAGTTTGTCAAAAACAGAATTTCAGGACCTGCCATAGAACTATATCTGCATTTTACCCAGAATCTGCATTGTTAAAAGAGCTCTAGGCCTGGTAAGCACAGGAACTTTGTGAACAGTTTACTATGTGAAAGCATTCAAATTCAGTCATTAAAAATGTTATGAAGCACTAGCAGTGTTGGGATACCTTTCATCCCAGCACTTGGGAGGCACATGTAGGCAGATCTGAGTCTAGAATCTGGTCTATAAAGCTAGTTCCAGGACAGCCAGGCTACACAAAGAACTCTGTCTGGAAAAACAAAGCAAAAATATTACAGAGATTAAATGTTATGGCGTAGTGGCTAATAGCACTTACTGCTCTCACAGAGGAATCAGGCAGCAGGATCAGTAGTTCCAGGGCAGTCTGTGTTTTGTGAAACCCCATAAAAAAAAAAAAAAAAGTGAAAAAATACCAATGAAATAAACAAACATTGGGCTGAGTCAGGCCTAGGCTCCTGACAGCCACTGTAACTGGGGCTCTGTGGTGCTGTCAATTTAAGAGTCTTTGCTTTTTGAGAGAGACCCTTTCATCAAAAGTTAGGGTTCTGGGCATGAGAGTGTAGCAAAGACTAAGCATGGATTGCTTTAAATAGTAATTCCTATGGTGCCAGGTGCTCAAGTTGTTTGCTCAACTCTCTGCCTTCTGACAAGCAAACTTATTAACTGTGCTGCAGACAGTTAATAAGGCCCACTGATTCAAATTCACACTTTAGGAAGTGGTGGTGGCAGATACACCCACCAGGAAAGAAGTCCATCATGAGCTATCAGAACTAGCACTAGGCTGGTGATCACATTCTGAAAACGCCATTAGCTCCAACGCTTAATAACTTTTTCATTTCTCTCTGCACCTCCCTACTTCCTGACAGCTCTGGGGACTGACGGTTTTTCCTTCTTTTGGACACTGAAGCCTCAGACCTAGTTTCAGAACGGATATCCGGCAAGGCCCAGAGGAGGCAAAAAGCCACATTGTTCCCTTGGGCCTGGCAGCCTCGCCCCTGCCCTTAGGACTCTCCTCCAAAGATCCCCAGGTGACCGGAGAGCCAGTTTCCCGGGATTAGGACCTTTGGGACAAGAGGAACTGGGATCGGATTTGGAGTCCGACGCTCTAAAAGTGTAAAGAGCCAAGTGCTCCAAGATAAACAAGCCTGGAATTTGAATGCTTTTCCACGCCGGCTTGGCCCTGGCTGGTTTGTTACTCATTAACATTACCACAGCGGACTCGGTTCCTTCTGTGTCTTTGGTAGCTCGATTACAGTAGTTTGGCTTTATTGAGAAACGTGCAGTTTTGAGGCTCGGGGCTGGCGAAGCTCCTTAGAGCGTGAGGATCCCGGGAGTCCTAGTCTCCTGCGTTCCGGTTAGCCTAGACGCGCCGTCGCCAGGGGGCGCGCAGGCTATGCCGCTAGAGACCGGGCACCGCTGGGTCGCCCCGGGCTGACGAACCCCTTGCTGCCCGGAAACAAAGTGCACCTTTGTCAGTGACTTGGCGCCTGTGAGCGGCAGACAGCGGGCCGCGCGGAACCCCAGGGGCGCGCCTTCGCTCAGCTCACTCGTGATCCTCCCACACCAGCGTCCCGCTGCCGTGGCTTGTGCTTTCCGTTTTCTGGGATTTTGGCGAGACAGGAAAGGGACTCTCCGCTCCGGGATTGGGGATTCCACCTTGGTTGAGCGGTCTCCTGTCGGCGAGGCTGGACCGCCTGGGCTCAGTGCCATACCAGCTGCAGTCCCATAGTCCCCTCTCAGCAGAGCCCCGCCCCTTCAGACCCTGGACTACAATTCCCAGCAGTCCTCGCACCCCAAAGCTCGCGGTGGGAGGTGCTTCCGGGCAGGCGCCTGCGCAGTGCTGCAGCTCGAGCCTGGAGTACCACACCCCCGGGAAACGAGGGGAGGCTGAAGCATCCAAAGCATTAAAGCATCCGTGGGAGCTTGAGGGGAGGAGAATGGAGTGACAGAGAGGCGCGGAGGGTGGGGGGTGGGGGGGAAAGGGTGGAGGGAGGGGGGAGGGGGGACACAGAGGGAGGAAGAAGCGGCGGCGGCGGTTCCTCGGTGCAGAGGGGGAAACTCTGTGGGCTCGGAGCAAGAATAATGCGGTAGCAAGGCGGGCTGCTTGCTCCTGGCTCTGGCAGCAGCGAAGGTAGCCCCAGCAGCGGCAGCGGCATCACCTCAGACGCTGACAGCCCCGCCGGCCGGCTACCTCGCTGACTGCCGACTGTCAATGGAGCTGGAAAACATAGTGGCCAACACGGTCTTGCTGAAAGCCCGGGAAGGTAAGCTCGGGTGGTCCGGTGCTTGCGGGCCGGGGTGCGAGTGTTGAGTGGGCAGCGGGCGTGCAGGATGCTCGCCGTGAGTTGGCGCGAGCGGTGCAGCTTGCAAATGTTGAAGGGATCCTTGCCTTTGGGCTCAGAAGATTATGATTGGAGCAGAGACGGTTGCGGAGACGAGTTAAGATGCTAAAATATTCTTTATTTTCCAGCTGAGCCTTAGAAATCGTGCAGTCTCCATAGCTGTTGTAAGGGCAGTTGGAAAGCATTCTTTTAGGAGAGAGAGAGGCAAGAAAACGAGCCAATAAAATAGCCTTTCGAGTTAGCTTGGGATGGTTTTGAGAGTGTGAACTCTCTCCCTCCTTCTCTCGCTCATTCCCCCTCCCCCTCTTTCTCCCTTTCCTCTCTTCCTCTTTCTCTTCCTCTCCCTCCTCTCTGTGTCTGTCTGTCCTCTCTCTGTCTCAGTCTCTGTCTCTGTATGTGTGTGTTGTGGGATTGGAATTAGCAGAAGAAAAGTCTTTGCTTTCGCAGGATGAGGTGATAAAGACCATTGGTGGAAATCATCCTCTGGGAAAATTTCTTAGGGAAATCCCGCTGTCGAGCTGAAGGAAGCCTTTTAAAGGCAAAGTAAGATGTTGAGAATTAGCCAGTTTGTAGAATAATGAAAGGGTGGCTTTAACAAATCATTGAGAAAATAATTCAAAATTTCAGGGTGTGTTGTTGTTATTAACCGTCCCCAACCCCTACCCTGCGGTAATTGTTCCGTTTTGACTCAGTTAAAAGGCAAGTATGCTGCTGTTTAGATGCGGTCTGCATGCATCTCACTAAATTTCCTGCATTTAGCTGTTAGGAAATATCGTCCAAGTGGAATGGGTAAGATCCCAATGGGTAATACCTGTTACCATGTATTTTGTCTCGAGTTGAAAAAGTGTGTGTGGAGGGGGTCAGAAACTTAGATGTCCTAAAAAGTTTGTGTTGCATGAATGTAAACATACATGTTTAGGAAAACTTGGATTTTATGTAACATCTTTTTTACCAAGATTTGGACTCTGGTGTGCAACCATTTTATAAGAAGAGGAGTGTTTTTTCCCTTTCCTGGGAGGAGGCCGTATTTGATATCCAGGGCAGACTGAGTAAGGCTTTTTCCCTTTAGAAGGACTCTCAGTAAGCAGCCTGTGAAAATGCCATTCCCACTTCTTAATATTTTCATTCACCCACTTTGATGAATGAAGGAAGACTTTCTGGCCAGCAATAAAACGACTCCTGTTTATCCAGCCCATTCCATCACCTTGTGGCTCAGTACATGGTGTGCGGCCAGTAATATACAACCCACCTTGGGTTGTTTCAGCAGCTCATCTTGGCACTTTCAGGTCACTTGTCACCCTAAAGCAGCCACCTGGAAAGCTTGTTTTGGAAGTCCCCACAGGAGCCACTGCTCTGAAAACTGAGTAGAGTTTCAGATGTTCAGGTCTCTCTTCTCTAGTGCCCTTCACTCAGTTTTTTTTTTTTTTTTTGACGCTATTATTCATTGACTTTAGGTTTGAAGACATGAGATGTTTGTTGTTTTGTCTCCTCATCTCAACTAACTAGGTGTGGGGTGGAGGCTCTTCACTGGGTTGGGCAGTTTCTGGAGGTGAAGGAGAAAGCTCCTGCCTGCAAGCCAGTGCAGCCTTCCACCTAGTGATGGGATATAGAGGTACATTTCAGATCTTATGTTGGGCAAATGTTAATGATTCTGAAATTATTCCCTGGGGAATCTCTAGAGGCCTTTACATGTTCCACCGACTCCTCCTTTTGCCCAGGGAGTCAGCTCCTTGGGATTCACTGTACTTTACGTTTGTTCATTCTTTCCTCAGCACTGAATTCTTTGCATCTGTTTTACTTTGAGTTGGAAAGTCTTCTCCCTCCCCAGTTATTATTTTCAGTGTTTTTACTGAAATGAATTTACTGGCTTGTATTTTTGTGTGCTGGGTTAGCATATAGGTTTTTCCTGAGTCTTTGAGAGAACTGTGGACTGGAAGTGTATGTGGACCGATGGACCCTCTATTGGGGCAGAATTATTGTGATTAGAAGTGCTCAAGAATGTGTTCTTTGTTTTTTTGTTTTGTTTTGTTTTCCTTTCAAAGTCTTAGTTTTCCTGTGAGAGTTTAATAGACATCTTCTGGTGAGAAATAGCTTTTGAGAATGCTTCCAGATGAGAGGGCTTTGCCTTAAAGGAAACAGAGATTGACATGTAATTGATAAATTAATTATGCACATGGAAGCTTCATTTTAAAAACTGTACTTAACTTTCTCCCCTTTTATGTCTAAAGAGAATCTACAATTTTAAGTGCTTCTACTTAATAAAGTCTGGGACTTTATTAAAGCTTTGAGCTTATCCTAATTAACATGGAGGTGTCTAGAAATAAACATGTGTTCTCTTAAGTTTTCTACTTAAAGTCATCAGATTGAATTTGCTAATTCTCCAAGTAACTTTGCTATATAGATATTCAGAAATGAATGTTATAAGAGGTAAAAATCTTGCCTAGCATGCAAAAGGCCTTGATTTGGGCCTAGCATTATCTTTCCATTCACATAAAAGGAAGGAAAGAAAAAAAAAGGGAGGAAGAGAAACATAAAAGAAAAAGAAAGGTTAGGACATATACATAATGTTTGCTGTTTGCCTAGCACTCACCTAACCCCCTGGGTTTGTTTGTTTGTTTGTTTGTTTGTTTATCCCCTAGCAGGGAATAAATGAGTGTTGTTGCACACACCTGTAAATCCAGCTTTTGGGAGGTAGAGACAGGAGTATCCTAAATTTGAGGTGAGCAGCCTCAGCTTCCTTGGAGTTCAAGTCCAAGTTTAATATGAGATACTATTAAAACATAGAGACAGGTTGGTTTTGATCTTTCTTAGGAACTTTAGCTTTCCTAAGAAATAGTTAAGCAACAAAGGAATAAGTTGGGACAGAATTCATGCCAATTTATGAAATGAGCTAAGTGATTGAGCATTTAATGAAAAAGTTACCCAAACCAAGTCTTTATCTGTTTACATTTCAGAATGTTAGAAAATTGTCAGGCAAGCTCCTGTTGAAATACTGGTAGTGAGTGATAGTGTTTGCAGAATGCCTTTTGTAATATATATTTTATTGTTGCAGTGAAAGTTTCTCTTTCTTTCTTTCTTTCTTTCTTTCTTTCTTTCTTTCTTTCTTTCCTTCCTTCCTTCCTTCTTTCTTTCTTTCCTTCCTTCCTTCTTTCTTTCTCTCTAAATCTGTTGTATTGCTATTGAGCAGAACTGATGAGAGGAACATTTACAAGAAATTACCTTTCCTTTCTTCCCAGGCCAGCAGTCATAGCCCTATCTGATCAATAAAGACAGCAGGAGCACTGAACATATATTCTTGCCTTTGAGGCTAGCAAGCATTGGGACAGAATGACTCTGATATTCGACACAATTTCTGAAAACCAGAATGCACAAGAAACTTCATAGATAAGGCTGTGACTTTTTGCCTGTATCTGCCTGATGATCAAGATTAGGGACCTGGGAGAAGGTGAACTTCGGGGAAGGGAGAGGCCAGGGAGGCTAACAGGAAGAATGATCCAACATCCAGAGCTGGGAGAAGGTAGGGTTTGCTTTTGATAGGCTTGGCATTCCATGACAGGTTGGAAGCCTACTTTTCTCTTGAGTCCCTAGTTTCTGATGTTGGAGCTAAAACATGGTTGGACTAAGTTGTCAGAAGACTGGGTATTTTTGAAGCTTGCAGTCCGCTACAACTCTGAGGAGACACAGTTCTACCCAAAGCTTCTCCCTTTAATCTGAGGATGTAGAAGAGTGATAGCTTTCATTCTGGCAGTTGGCATGTGTGAATGCAGCCTAGCCTATTAAACACAATGCTGTTAAGCGGTTAAATGAAGCTGCCTCTTCATTTAACAGTTTCCTTTTCAGTACCTGCAACATAGAGATAGAGAAACTAAAAGCAATATTCAGAAGGCCTGGCTTTCCAACAGAAGATTTTCAGATGATAATTGTGCTTCATCTAGCTGCCTGTTTTTATAAGCATCAGATAAAGGCCCACAAGACTCTCATCTTTCAGTAGCTTAGTTGTTGCTTGTCAGGTTCTAAACTGTAAAAGATCCTGATCTTTCAGTACCCAAACCAATCCTTGCTTGACTGATGTCTTCAAAAGCCAGAGCTCTTTTAGTGGCTTGCTAGGTGATGGCCCTTTGGGCCTGCACTGCAGGCTTTAAGAAAGCTCAAGTGAGTTTCAGAAATGGGTTCTACACATTACCACATTTGCCTTTTCCAAGCACTTTTCGACTCTCAACCCATGCCTGGGGGCTGTCAACATTCTTAAGAAACCATCTAGGCATGAAGGCAATATTTAAAGTTAATATTTGTTGCCAGTGAATTTGTGGATCAAAATAAAACACCATAATACCTATACTTTTTTTGAACAGAGTTTGCTGTGTAGCCCAGGCTGGGTTCAAACTTGCAGCAGTCCTCCTGCCTCAGCCTCTCAAGTGCTGATACTACAGCTATGAGCCACCATGCTTGGTTATATCTATCTATTCCTAATGAAAAAGAGCTAAGGTTGAGATTTATTTTTAGAAAGCAAAGACAGTGTTGTTCCTTTAATTATCATTTAGATACCAGAGGACACATTCCATTTCTATACATTATGCTAATTTTGAAAGAAAACAGTTACTTCCTGATTGAATCCTATTCTCATTCTCATTTTTTAAAAAAGATTCTTGAATTGTCTTCTCAACACTTACAGGAATAAAGTTGGTGTGTACATTCATTCATGAATAGATGTTTGAATGTTTCTTGGCAGAAGTAATGCTTTGGATATCAGCTTTGGATAAATACATTTAGAGACAGGTTAAAAGATAGCTGGGTCAGGTGTGGTAGTGCATGTCTTTAATCTCAGCACTCCGGAGACAGAGACAGGCAGATAATTGAATTATAAGACAGCTTTGTCTATGTGAGTTTCAGCTCACCTACCTAGTGAGACCCTGTCTCAAAAA